GTGTGTGTGTGTGTGTGTGTGTGTGTGTGTGTGTGTGTGTGTTCGTTCGTCTTTCGGGGTATTTCAACTCGCCATCCACGCAAGCTTTGAAGCTGAGAATTTGCCGGTGTGTTCCCCAGCCAAGTGCCACTCCAGGACCCTCACGCACGTCTGGGCTCCGCGTACGACCACGTGAAAGTTTCGACGAGGAAATTGCTAACTCGGGAACGAGAAAAGCTAGAAGGTTGAAGCTTTAGCAGAATGTTTCCTGCTCACGTACAATCAAAAGATTTTAAATTCAGCTCTCTGGAACCGTCCGGGACTCACGTACGAGCTTGTGAAAATTTTTGCGGAAGAATTGCTAACTCGGGAACGAGAAAAGCTGAAAAGCTTTAATTTTAAGGGACTGTTCTTTATTTAGGTGCAACTAGAAGATTTCATATTCAGTTCTTCTAGTGGAGTCTTATTCGCGCACTTGCAACTTTCTCTTTGTCGGGTCACTGAAGCCGACATCTACAACTGACATTCCACATAGCTGCGCAATTAACTTGCCGAACTTCGTGGGCCAGTATGTCACAGAGCTAGCTTCTATTATTCCTTACGATCTTGCTATAGCACGAAAAGTGCAAAAACGCATGATCGCACCGACCCGCCTGGCGCATTCCAGCCTGGGTTGAGTCTTTTGCGGTTCCATAACGAATATGTTTATTCATTTCAGGTGAACAATGTCGGTCTTCGCAATCACTACTACTGCAGTGTATATGCAGCACGTATGATGGCCAAACGTCAAACAGGACTAATTATTAATATAAGTTCTGCCGGAGGTCTGTTTTATCTTTTTACGGTCCCTTATGGAGTCGGGAAGGCAGCGATGGATCGTATGGCATCCGATATGGCAGTCGAGCTGCGCAGCCGTGAAGTTACTGTGGTATCGCTTTGGCCGGGAGTCGTTCGCACCGAGGTGCTCATATAAATGCATATTTATTTTGTATTTTCTACTTAAATTTTTCATTTACTTCCTAGTGGATTTCGCATTTACTTTCAGTTAATGGATTTTAAAAATAGTAAAGTTG